GATCAAGGGGTCAAAGAAGAGTGGGACCAAAGGCACACGAGCACCATCTTTTAAAGATTCCTGGAAACAGCAGTGTGATCCTTCGTCGTGCATCCCCTTTAGCGGGACCAAGTTATAGGTCACGTCCAGCTGGGAAGGGAGGCTGGGCTGAGCCATCCTTATTCAGGGTGGCCTTGCACCTAGGTATTCCCTTCATTGTGCAGAAAAGGGAGAACCGGTCCTGGCCACAGCCAGCAGTGGCTAGCACAGCTACTGAGCTTGTTATTTCAGTTATCTCGTATAGAAAATAGACTATGTGGGATTAATTTCCTTTTCTAAACATTGAAAAATTTGGATTTCCTAAGCTGTTGGAATAGTAAAATGGATATGGTGACTTACCAGGTGTGTGTTTTTTAAATAGACCTTTTGTCTCCCTGGTTTTTTAATTAAAAATATATTACTGGAGAATTATGGGAATTGAAAAGTCACTTTTTCCTTTGCAAATGAACTATTTGATAACGGCTTTTAAGAAAGACTTTTTTTTTTTTTTTTTAAGAGTTAGTACTGATACTATTGATTCTCGGCACACCTGGCATATAAAAACCTGCTTGGTAATAACATACTCAAATTGAAAATTATTAAATGTAATAAATTAATGATAAAATAAACTTCATTCATTTAACTCTGTGCCCGCTATGTGTCAAGCAGTGTGTGAAGATCGAAGATGGGAGGCTGGGCTCACGGTCCAGCTCATACAGGTTCTTAGACCTGGTTCCTTGAAAGGTCAAGTCCCTAGAAGGACAAATGTGATTCTGCTTGGCAGCTGGAAAGTCAGGTATCTGATAATTCAGAAACACACAGGAAGTGATCAAATGGCATATTTGACAAGGTCAAGCAGCTGCTTTGTAAAACTGAAAGAACAGTTTTGCTTGGAGACCTTTCATTTTCCCTTTTCTTACTGCAGTAGATAACAGCATTTTTATGCTAATTCTTGGAGTGAGGACTTACTGGTAATGAGTTGCTTGATCAGCTGAAAAGCCCTTTCAGTTAATGACTTTATTTTTATTTATTTATTTTTAAGATTTTATTTATTTATTTGAGAGAGAGA